ACCGAGATCTGGCAGCGACGTCGTGTCGAACGTGTCTGCGGTCCACTGGAGACGATTTGATGATCGACATCGGGCTGACTGAGAAATATTGTCCGGGTTTGGACTGTGGGAAAATGTGGAAATCTTGCCACTCAGCCACCCATGAGAACAGGTTTTCCCCTTTTTCTGGCAGCAAAACAGGTGTTAAGATGTTAAAACAACAAACGGAAAACTTTTACAAGGAATCATGTGTGCATTAACCACAATACTTGTGGTCAGAATGCAAACAAAAAACATACTGTGATACCATTTGCATTGTCTTTGAAACTGATTGGTCCACAGCCTCGTCTCAGACGGTATTAGACCAAAAGACGCCAAAACCTATTGTCATATTTTGGCACTGGCAAAGGAAATCCCATGATGTAGCTACTCACCCACCCACTTACTCATCCACTCACTCCCTTACCCACTCAGCCAGTTGCTCACCCACTCAGCCATTCACTCACCCACTCATTCACTCACCCACCCATTCACTTATCCACTCACTCACCCACTCAGCCATTCACTCACCCATCATTCACTCACCCACTAATTCACTCATCCACTCAGCCACCCACTCACCCACTCGCCAACTCACTCACCCACCCACCTAATAGGGTTGCCACCCGTCCGCGAATTGGCATCAGCGTTCGGGTGTCAATAATTGATGTTGTTTTGCATTTCGTTGAACTTGATAACGGACCTAGGTGGGTGTTGACTGCGGAATAGGTGGACAACCCCTCGCCCTGCAGGACACCACGGGGCGAAAACCTCCCGATATAAGATGTGGGGCCATGTTGGCAGCTATACTATCACTGTTTATGTCACGATGGGTTAGTTAGTTGTATTCGTTTAACGTACGCATACATTTTTTTTAAAAAATGAGCTGTATTTCTCTAGCTATATTTAATTGTTGGGGTTTTTTATATTCAAATATATAAATGAGAAAAAAAAACGTTAAAATGTGAATGAATGGAGAGGCTAGCTTATATAACTTGCAGTATCAATATTTATATGTACACAGTCGTTTTAAAAATTAAAAGCAAAAGTAGCGTTTGCTATATTAAGTCGGTACGCATCGTGTTTTAATAACGTAGCTTAATCGATGTCCGACTTCACCCGCGAGTTCATTATTAACTGGAATGAAAACGTCAATAGGTTTTGAAGTAAAAAAAATAATCGATCTTGTCATCGTCGTCGAGTTGTGAGTTGTCCTCTTTGTTTTTTTGTTGTTTGTCGTTGCTCTGTCTGACTGCCCCGGTGAACCTGCGACGTTCGGGCGACGTTGGGTCAACGGTTCCGACCTCACGCCAACGTCGACCCGACGTTGACCGTTGTTTACTGGGCGTGCAATATTACAATTGCTGCCCTGTCCTTTGGGTAATGAGACGCGCCGGAAAGTAAGACGCACCCCCACCCCCACATAAACAACGCGTGTCCGGTGTCAATCAAGTTACATGCAAACCTGGTCCAAAAGACAAAGGTCCCCCGTATAGCCTGCACAGACTGTTGGGGCAAGTGCTGTAAGCGAGCAACCTATGGAGGTCGGCACCGTGGCACGCACGGAAGGGGTGGGTGGCCAGCATCACGCCCGGCCGCCTTTGTCTCCCCAGTGGCGATGTTTACACACCGTTCTTATTTGAGGCTGAGTCGACCTAGAGGAGGCCCAAGATCCGGTTCAGATAATCGTCACCGGTGTTGGCCGTGAGCGGGAATCGAACTTGGATCGTAGCACAGCGCGCTAAACGCTACACTATAAAATACAAAGATCCCCTGTATAGCCTACACAGATGATTGGGACAAGTGCTGTTCCCGAGCACAAACACACAGATCCCGTGTATAGGTGGTTCCTACCAGTATACATCGTGTGGGTTGCCATCGATGTGTACGGACGCTGTATAGGCGATGCATGCGCGCCCTCTGCTGTTGACTGGGTCATGTGGCCCTCGCACGCCCAGGCGGTTTTAAACGGGCCGCGGGCACTGACTGGCTGGACGGGGGGAGCTGGGGATGCGGTACAGGAGGAGGAGGAGGATGCGGATGAGCTGAGTGGACTTGCCCCATGGATGGTGATAACTGGCGGCGTCAATATAATCGGCCTCTCTCTGTTGGGAGAGGAGGCTCGTGAAGGACACTGATACTCGGAGGTTGGAGGCAGTCGCCCACCGGCAACGACGGAGGACGGAGGAGCGACGCTCACAATAAACGGAGCGCCGGGCGGATAAAAGAGTGAGTTAGCACAGTTGGGGGGGGGGGGGGGGGGGGGGGGGGTGGGCATCGGTGGTGCAGTCAACCCATGGCACCACCTGGGTCTGTCCCGTGATCTCATCCACCTGCACCTAGCCTGGCACAGCAGTCAACCCATGGCACCACCTGGGTCTGCCCCGTGACCTCCTCCTCCTGCACCTAGCCTGGCACATCAGTCAACCCATGGCACCTGCTGGGTCTGCTCCGTCCGTGACCTCCTCCTCCTGCACCTAGCCTGGCACAGCTGTCAACCCATGGCACCTGCAAGGTCTGTCCCGTGACCTCCTGCACCTAGCCTGGCACAGCAATCAACCCATGGCACTACCTGGGTCTGCCCCGTGACCTCCTCTTCCTGCACCTAGCCTGGCACAGTAGTCAACCCATGGCACCATCTGGGTCTGCCCCGTGACCTCCTCCTCCTGCACCTAGCCTGGCACAGTAGTCAACCCATGCCACCACCTGGGTCTGTCCCGTGATCTCCTGCACATAGCCTGGCACAGCAGTCAACTCATGGCACCTGCTGGGTCTGTCCCGTGACTTCCTGCACCTAGCCTGGCACAGCAGTCAACCCATGGCACCACCTGGGTCTGCCCCGTGACCTCCTACAGCAGCGAGTCTTCGACACTTTACGTGACGGCCTCAAAGTGAACCTAGCCTGGCACAAGCGCCGTGGTCACCGCCACTTAACGGATGTTGTTAAATGTGGCCTTAAGCGAGCAGTGTATTTGGTGCATGAGTTTGTAAACATCGGCACTGGGGAGACAAAGGTGGCTGCCCAAAAAAACACCGAACGTTGATTCAACGTTGGCCGAGGCGGGGTGCCCTGGGGGGAGGTGGGGGTGAGGGAGGTGTCGCTAGGCAACGGGTCCTTCCACTCCTAGTAAACACATTATTTGATGATGCTGCTGCTGCAATGTTGGCATTGGGGCACACAATAAATAATATATAACAATAAGCTCTACACACTCGTCAGAAACGCTGTGTGACCTTAAACAGTAAATTTATATAAAAGGCAACTTTTCGGGTGATTGCCCTTGTTAAACAGTACGCAAACATTTTGATTTAAAGCTTTCGTGACTGCAGGGATTCATATTCTTGGTTCTTTCGGTGAAGCCACGTAGAAGGGAAATAATAAAATAATAAAAATATAAAACAATAAAAATTCTCACGACGTTTCGACTGCAACACAAGCAATCATCATCAGGTGTGAAATCCACAGCAAGAACATTTTATTTGTCTTGCTGATGATGATGATTGCTTGTGTTGCAGTCGAAACGTCGTGAGAATTTTTATTGTTGAATATTAATATTATTTTATTATTTCCCTTCTACGTGACTTTACCGAAAGAACCAAGAATATGATCTTATTATTTTATTTCTATTATTATTTCTATTATTTTTATTTGTTATTATTTATTCTTACCTACGTGACTTTACCGAAAGCCCCTAAGAGTATGAATCCCTGCCGTCACGAAAGCTTTAAATAAAAAAAAATATGATTCTGGTTCTGATTAGACTCGTAGCCCCCGCCCTCTCGTCGCGTAACCCCGCCTATCTACAATTGGTACCTCATTTGCCAGTAAAAAATATGATGATTGGTTTTTTTACCCTCTTCTCTGGCAATAAAACTGACACCTCCCGCCTATCTATGTTAAGCACGCCCTCTTTAACTAGCCCCTCCCTTTATTATAATGTAGCCCCCCTTTTATTATAATGTAGCCCCCCCTTTATTATAATCAAGCCCCCCCCTTTATTATAATGTAGCCCCCCCCTTTATTATAATGTAGCCCCCCTCTTTATTATAATGTAGCCCCCCTCTTTATTATGATGTAGCCCCCCTCTTTATTATGATGTAGCCCCCCCTTTATTATAATGTAGCCCCCCCCCTTTATTATAATGAAGCCCCCCCCTTTATTATAATGTAGCCCCCCTTTTATTATAATGTAGCCCCCCCCCTTTATTATAATGAAGCCCCCCCCTTTTATTATAATGTAGCCCCCCCTTTATTATAATCAAGCCCCCCCCTTTATTATAATGTAGCCCCCCCCTTTATTATAATGAAGCCCCCCCCTTTTATTATAATGTAGCCCCCCCCTTTATTATAATCAAGCCCCCCCCCTTTATTATAATGTAGCCCCCCCCCCTTTATTATAATGAAGCCCCCCTCTTTATTATAATGTAGCCCCCCCTTTATTATAATGTAGCCCCCCCTTTATTATAATGAAGCCCCCCCTTTATTATAATGTAGCCCCCCCCCCCTTTATTATAATGTAGCCCCCCCTTTATTATAATGAAGCCCCCCCTTTATTATAATGTAGCCCCCCCCTTATTATAATGTAGCCCCCCCTTTATTATAATGAAGCCCCCCCTTTATTATAATGTAGCCCCCCCCTTTATTATAATGTAGCCCCCCCCTTTATTATAATTAAGCCACGCCCTCTTTAACTAGCCCCTCCCCTTATTATAATTAAGCCACGCCCTCTTTAACTAGCACCGCCCCTTATTATAATTAGGCCACGTCCCCTTTAACTAGCCCCGCCCCTTATTATAATGAGGCCCCGCCCCCTTTAACTAGCCCCGCCCCTTATTATAATGAGGCCCCGCCCCCTTTAACTAGCCCCGCCCCTTATTATAACGAAGCCACGCCCTCTTTAACCAGCCCCACCCCTTATTATAATTAGGCCCCGCCCTCTTTAACTAGCGCCGCCCCTATTATAATTAGGCCCCGCCCACCTTCCTCCTTCGACCGGCCCCCCGACCGCTCCCTGAGGCCGCGCGGTTTGCGGCTCCACGGCTGCCTCCACCACCACCACCTCCCTCGGGGTCTGCCACAACCACAACAACAACCACCACCCTCAGTGCGGGTACCAGATGCGAAGAGGAGGAGGGCGAGGAGGAGGAGGAGGCGGCAGCGGTGCGGCCAGGTGAGCGTCCACACCGAGATGTGGATTAGCAGCGAGGCCTCCTTCCCCGCAGGGCTCGGCCTGACGAGGTGGTTGACTCCACTCTCGATTCTCCTCGTCTTCTTGTCACTTCACTGCCCGTGAGCCGGGTGCTTCACTGCTTGACGACTACTACTAACTAACTACTGTGTACTTACTGTGTACTTACTGTACTCGCACGCCTCCACCACCATCATCGCCACCACGCTCCACCGTGCCGCGTGTTTTATCGATCCTTACGAGGTGAGGAGAATCTCCCCCAACCACCACCACCACCTCTCTCTTCATCTTCCTCCCTCTCTCTTCATCTTCCTCTCTCATCACCAGCAGCCTCCACCTCTTCTCTCACCACCTCTCACGTGGGGGGCTCCTCGGCCTGAGGGGGTCGTGGGCCCCCCCCCCCCCCCAAAACTCTCTCACCGACTCGGGGTAGCGATCTCTCCTCTTTACATCTCCTCATCTCCTCCTCATCTCCTCCAGCCTCTCTCCTCACGTAAACCTCGTCTGGCGATGGGTCCCTGACGAGGTTAAAGTTAGCCACGCTCCTTCCTATCTCTCTCCCCACCTCCCTTCCTCCTCCTCCTCCACTCTGCCTCGTCTGGCCACCGTTCTCCGTCCTCCTCTTCCACGTGGACTGTACCCTGACGACGTGAAGTCTACAACACCTCACCTCTCCTCACCTCATGAGGCGAGGTGGTTGTGGTGTAGTGGAGGTGGTTGTGGTGTAGTGGAGGTGGTTGTGGTGTAGTGGAGGTGGTTGTGGTGTAGTGGAGGTGGTTGTGGTGTAGTGGAGGTGGTTGTGGTGTAGTGGAGGTGGTGTTGTGGTGTAGTGGAGGTGGTTGTGGTGGAGGTGGTTGTCGTGTAGTGGAGGTGGTTGTGGTGTAGTGGTTGTGGTGTAGTGGAGGTGGTTGTGGTGTAGTGGAGGTGGTTGTGGTGTAGTGGAGGTGGTGTTGTGGTGTAGTGGAGGTGGTTGTGGTGTAGTGGTTGTGGTGTAGTGGAGGTGGTTGTGTTGTAGTGGAGGTGGTTGTGGTGTAGTGGAGGTGGTTGTGGTGTAGTGGAGGTGGTTGTGGTGTAGTGGAGGTGGTTGTGGTGTAGTGGAGGTGGTTGTGGTGTAGTGGAGGTGGTTGTGGTGTAGTGGTTGTGGTGTAGTGGAGGTGGAGGTGGTTGTGTGGTGGAGGTGGTTGTGGTGTAGTGGAGGTGGTTGTGGTGTAGTGGAGGTGGTTGTGGTGTAGTGGAGGTGGTTGTGGTGTAGTGGAGGTGGTTGTGGTGTAGTGGAGGTGGTTGTGGTGTAGTGGAGGTGGTTGTGGTGTAGTGGAGGTGGTTGTGGTGTAGTGGAGGTGGTTGTGTGTAGTGGAGGTGGTTGTGGTGTAGTGGAGGTGGTTGTGGGTGTAGTGGAGGTGGTTGTGGTGTAGTGGAGGTGGTTGTGGTGTAGTGGAGGTGGTTGTGGTGTAGTTGGAGGTGGTTGTGGTGTAGTGGAGGTGGTTGTGGTGTAGTGGAGGTGGTTGTGGTGTAGTTGGAGGTGGTTGTGGTGTAGTGGAGGTGGTTGTGGTGTAGTTGGAGGTGGTTGTGGTGTAGTGGAGGGGGTTGTGGTGTAGTTGGAGGTGGTTGTGGTGTAGTGGAGGTGGTTGTGGTGTAGTGGAGGTGGTTGTGGTGTAGTGGAGGTGGTTGTGGTGTAGTGGAGGTGGTTGTGGTGTAGTGGAGGTGGTTGTGGTGTAGTGGAGGTGGTTGTGGTGTAGTGGAGGTGGTTGTGGTGTAGTTGGAGGTGGTTGTCGTGTAGTGGAGGTGGTTGTGGTGTAGTTGGAGGTGGTTGTCGTGTAGTGGAGGTGGTTGTGGTGTAGTGGAGGTGGTTGTGGTGTAGTTGGAGGTGGTTGTGGTGTAGTGGAGGTGGTTGTGGTGTAGTGGAGGTGGTTGTGGTGTAGTGGAGGTGGTTGTGGTGTAGTGGAGGTGGTTGTGGTGTAGTTGGAGGTGGTTGTGGTGTAGTGGAGGTGGTGTGGTGTAGTTGGAGGTGGTTGTGGTGTAGTGGAGGTGGTTGTGGTGTAGTTGGAGGTGGTTGTGGTGTAGTGGAGGTGGTTGTGGTGTAGTTGGAGGTGGTTGTGGTGTGGTGGTTGTGGTGTAGTGGAGGTGGTTGTGGTGTAGTTGGAGGTGGTTGTGGTGTAGTGGAGGTGGTTGTGGTGTAGTTGGAGGTGGTTGTGGTGTAGTGGAGGTGGTTGTGGTGTAGTGGAGGAGGTTGTGGTGTAGTGGTTGTGGTGTAGTGGTGGTTGTGGTGTACTGGAGGTGGTTGTGGTGTAGTGGAGGTGGTTGTGGTGTAGTGGAGGTGGTTGTGGTGTAGTGGAGGTGGTTGTGGTGTAGTGGAGGTGGTTGTGGTGTAGTGGAGGAGGTTGTGGTGTAGTGGAGGTGGTTGTGGTGTGGTGGTGGTTGTGGTGTACTGGAGGTGGTTGTGGTGTAGTTGAGGTGGTTGTGTTGTAGTGGAGGTGGTTGTGGTGTAGTGGAGGTGGTTGTGGTGTAGTGGAGGTGGTTGTGGTGTAGTGGAGGTGGTTGTGGTGTAGTGGAGGAGGTTGTGGTGTAGTGGAGGTGGTTGTGGTGTGGTGGTGGTTGTGGTGTACTGGAGGTGGTTGTGGTGTACTGGAGGTGGTTGTGGTGTAGTGGAGGTGGTTGTGGTGTAGTGGAGGTGGTTGTGGTGTAGTGGAGGTGGTTGTGGTGGAGGTGGTTGTAGTGGAGGTGGTTGTGGTGTAGTGGAGGTGGTTGTGTTGTAGTGGAGGTGGTTGTGGTGTAGTGGAGGTGGTTGTCGTGTAGTGGAGGTGGTTGTGGTGTAGTTGGAGGTGGTTGTGGTGGAGGTGGTTGTCGTGGAGGTGGTTGTAGTGCAGGTGGTTGTAGTGGAGGTGGTTGTGGTGTAGTGGAGGTGGTTGTGGTGTAGTGGAGGTGGTTGTGGTGTAGTGGAGGTGGTTGTGGTGTAGTTGGAGGTGGTTGTCGTGTAGTGGACGTGGTTGTGGTGTAGTTGGAGGTGGTTGTGGTGTAGTGGAGGTGGTTGTGGTGTAGTGGAGGTGGTTGTCGTGTAGTGGAGGTGGTTGTGGTGTAGTTGGAGGTGGTTGTGGTGTAGTGGAGGTGGTTGTGGTGTAGTTGGAGGTGGTTGTCGTGTAGTGGAGGTGGTTGTGGTGTAGTTGGAGGTGGTTGTCGTGTAGTGGAGGTGGTTGTGGTGTAGTTGGAGGTGGTTGTGGTGTAGTGGAGGTGGTTGTGGTGTAGTTGGAGGTGGTTGTGGTATAGTGGAGGTGGTTGTGGTGTAGTTGGAGGTGGTTGTCGTGTAGTGGAGGTGGTTGTGGTGTAGTTGGAGGTGGTTGTGGTGTAGTGGAGGTGGAGGTGGTTGTAGTGGAGGTGGTTGTGGTGTAGTGGAGGTGGTTGTGGTGTAGTGGAGGAGGTTGTGGTGTAGTGGAGGAGGTTGTGGTGTAGTTGGAGGTGGTTGTCGTGTAGTGGAGGTGGTTGTGGTGTAGTTGGAGGTGGTTGTGGTGTAGTGGAGGTGGAGGTGGTTGTAGTGGAGGTGGTTGTGGTGTAGTGGAGGTGGTTGTGGTGTAGTGGAGGTGGTTGTGGTGTAGTGGAGGTGGTTGTGGTGTAGTGGAGGAGGTTGTGGTGTAGTGGAGGTGGTAGTGGTGTAGTGGAGGTGGTTGTGGTGTAGTGGAGGTGGTTGTGGTGTAGTGGTGGTTGTGGTGTACTGGAGGTGGTTGTGGTGTAGTTGAGGTGGTTGTGGTGTAGTGGAGGTGGTTGTGGTGTAGTGGAGGTGGTTGTGGTGTAGTGGAGGTGGTTGTGGTGTAGTGGAGGTGGTTGTGGTGTAGTGGAGGTGGTTGTGGTGTAGTTGGAGGTGGTTGTGGTGTAGTGGAGGTGGTTGTGGTGTAGTGGAGGTGGTTGTGGTGGAGGTGGTTGTGGTGTAGTGGAGGTGGTTGTGGTGTAGTGGAGGTGGTTGTGGTGGAGGTGGTTGTAGTGGAGGTGGTTGTGGTGTAGTGGGGGTGGTTGTGTTGTAGTGGAGATGGTTGTGGTGTAGTGGAGGTGGTTGTGGTGTAGTGGAGGAGGTTGTGGTGTACTGGAGGTGGTTGTGGTGTAGTGGAGGTGGTTGTGGTGGAGGTGGTTGTAGTGGAGGTGGTTGTGGTGTAGTGGAGGTGGTTGTGGTGTAGTGGAGGTGGTTGTGGTGTAGTGGTTGTGGTGTAGTGGTTGTGGTGTAGTGGAGGTGGTTGTGGTGTAGTGGAGGTGGTTGTGGTGTAGTGGAGGTGGTGTTGTGGTGTAGTGGAGGTGGTTGTGTTGTAGTGGAGGTGGTTGTGGTGTAGTGGAGGTGGTTGTGGTGTAGTGGAGGTGGTTGTGGTGTAGTGGAGGTGGTGTTGTGGTGTAGTGGAGGTGGTTGTGGTGTAGTGGAGGTGGTTGTGGTGAAGTGGAGGTGGTTGTGGTGTAGTGGAGGTGGTTGTAGTGGAGGTGGTTGTAGTGGAGGTGGTTGTGGTGTAGTGGAGGTGGTTGTGTTGTAGTGGAGGTGGTGTTGTGGTGTAGTGGATGTGGTTGTGGTGTAGTGGAGGTGGTTGTGGTGTAGTGGAGGTGGCTGTACTGTGCAGTGCATAGTCTATGGTGGTGTGGTGGTGGTGATGGTGCTTCGTGGTTTCGGTGTTGGGAGTGTTTGTGACGGTGCTGGAGATGGCTGTGGCAAATTCTGTGGGTTCGTTGTTCGTTTCCAGTGTGTGGGGATGTTTGTTTATAGTTTTGCGCATGTTTATAATCATGTTGATTCTATGTTTAAGACGGAGCTTGTGTGTGGCCTGCGTGATGCTGTTGTGGTATTGATTCAGTTGATTGTTTTTCACATGCACATTACACACCTTGGGTCAATAATATGATAAACCTTTGTCAATTGTAGGAAGATCTTCAAACACAAACTCACACGGTTTGCCCGTATTCTTGTGCAGGGAATTTTAGTTTTTAGGTCCATACGGCGTTCAAACAATTGTTTTGTC